CCCTCGACTTCCATTCCCCGCATCCCCCGTCGGGGTCCGTCGGCTCCGTGGCCTCAGGGCGGCGCTCGCTGGCCGGGTTCGGCCCCGGCTCCGCGCTGCCTCCGCACCAGCGCTGCCATCCGCTGTGCGGCCTTTGTTTCCTTCGCCAAGCATTTTAACCGAGCTTTTTCTCTCTCTCTCTTTTTTTTTTTTTTCTTGTCCCCTCCACTTTCCTTTCATCATTATTATTATTATTATTATTTTAAGTGAAAGAAGGGAAAAGGAAAGAGAGAAAAGACGTTTGCGAATAAAAATGAGACATTTTGCCTTAAAGAAAGCGACGATCAAAGTCGTTTCCCTGCAGCCGGCTCCCCAGGGGATGCCCTCGGACACGATCTAAGCAAAAGGCTTTGTAACGTCGGGAATTTCAGGCTGGGAATGCTCGGGTTGAGCGTGAGGACCCGAAGGTGAGGGCAGCGAGGTGTGCCGAGGGGCAGAAGGGATCCCGAGTCCTGTTTAGATGTGAAAGTGGCATCAAACGCGACCCTGGAGAAAAAGGGAAGCGGAATCCCGAGGGAAAATTTCCCCTCGGGGCAAGAAAACACGAAGTGGAGGGCAGTCGGAGCCCCTCGGCCCTGCCCTCCCCATCAGGACTGGCCTGGATGCTTTGCTTCACCACTCTTCCACCACCCCTAAGGGCTCGCCGTTCCCAAATCACGGTGTGCGACCGTCCGGATTCGTCCTGAGATCAGGGAGAGCCGCAGTCAGAAAGAAAACCCCGAGATATTGGATCCCGCTGCGCCCTGGAGCCCCTTCCATCGGCACCCACTTCCCACACAATGAAGAGAAACCAAACCGTGCGAAATCCTCGGGGAGAAAAAGAAAAAATCCGGACAAAAATCCCTTCGGTGCCGGAGAACCCAATTAATAAGAAGAAAAAGGAGGGGAGGGAATCGATCACACCTATCTCAGTAATTCTATTTCTTTGCAGGGCGAACTGGAAATGCGGACGGTGTGCAGAAGGGAAACGATCCCACAGCTCAGCTAGGGAACAAGTAATGTTCCCCATACAGCCGACCCCAATTTGGGGCGATCTGAACCGTCTCAGCTCCAACCCAGGGCTCTGCACCGAACCCGGCATCGTGAGCTGAGATGGGGAGGGCGGGGGGGGGGGGGGGCCGCTTCACTTACAGAAATATCATTTAATTAATCCACAGATGAGGCAAGGCTTCTAAATTAACCGAAGAAGACTTGAAGTCGCAATAGGAGCTTTGGGTGAAGCGCTTAAGGCCAAACATCGAGAAAGAATTCAGGTAAAAGGGAGGTGGAAACGTTGGGTAGCATTAAAGGGTTGGCAAAATACATCCTGCAAACCTGCAATCGGATACGAGCATCTACTTATCCGACATGAAAACTCCCTCTTTGCCAAGACTTTATTGGTCCAACAATTCATTCGATTATTTTTTTCCCCCTATTTTATTTTTTCTCGGGGAAATCTGTCCAAAAAATCTCAGTTTTAGCCGCGTTCAAAGTCTTTTTTCTTTCTTCCTCCCCCCAGTTAATCTTTTAATTAGTTTATACATTTCAGGTTATTTGGGATTATGCTTAAACCGCTGGAAAAGATATCAGTTGGAAAATAAATAAATTGAAGAGTAATATTAATAAGAATTCTATGGAAAGACGCAATAGAAATACATCCTTCTCTGGGTGACCCTTAAAGAAAATACCGCGTTTCTTCCTATCCTATTAATTTGTTGGAAAACTTAATTAAGCTCGGCTACCTTCCATTATTTATGTAAACCCTCCGCCCGGGAGACTTTAAGAGGTTTCTTCTCCGGTTTCCGACATTGTTATTAGAAATCCATAAAGCAGGGGAGGGACAGGAAATTAAATTTAAAGGTACCTCATTACGGCACAACTGCTTTCCTATGGCAGCGGACGGAGACAACACATGGCGGCATAAAAGGCTGAGTCCCCCCAGCACGTAGACTTGGCAATCCTCTCGAAATGACCTTTTAATTCCAAACCTAGCAAGCTTCCGTCCCCACAGCGGGCTCTGAGAGTCGGCGGAGAGGGGAGAAAAGAAACTGAAATAGAAGAGAGGACAGCGATGCGAATGGAAGAGCCACGCAGATGGAAAAGCGTGGGGCGGGTGGTTGTTAACAGTGGGTTTGGCTGGGTGGGCATCAAGAGAGGTAAAGGTTATTTGGGGGGGATTTGTTCCAGAATTTCCCAGCTTTGCTCCAAGCTGGATTTCCATGCGGTGTTTCTGCAGTCCCCGATTCGTTTCCCGCTGGATGGTGCGGATTAAAGGGGTTTCAGCCCAACGCAGAAACAAAGAAACGACGCTAACCGTGAAGGGTCGGAACCGAGAATGGACGAAACTCCCTACAGACGGTGAGGAGAAGTGGAGGTGAGAACAAAGAAATGTTGCGCCCGATCTTTGCTTTAAAAGAGAGCTCGAACTTTGAGAAGGCAGGGGAAGAAATGATGATAGAAGCTAAAGAAGGGGGGAAGACGAACAGCTCTGCTCGGCCGTCCGCAGAAGAACCCAACAGTTTTCTATCCGGACGGCTGCAGCTGATGAGAATTAAAAGGGAATCGGGAATTTACACGTGGGAAACTACAAAAAGAGCAACACGTTACGAACACCACCTCCCTCCCCAGCACCCGGCGAGGCCGAATCCAGCACCCATTTACCCATCCTCACCTCCATCCCGCTCCTTCTCTTCGTAATTAATTAATATTATTTTTCTATCAAACTCTCCCACTCCGAAGAAAAAATAGTAATGATAATAATAAAAATAATAATTAAAAAAAGCCAAGGAAATGTATAAAAAAGAGGCAGCTCCTCTCGTTGGCAGAGCATCCTCCCACCACTTGTTAGAGCGAACCTTTCCCAGCTCCGGCTCATTTCGCGTGATTTCATTTTTCTCACTCCTTTCCTCGACTGGCGACAGAGCAAAGGTGCCGGAAATTAATTTTTAACTAAAAGCCCTTTGTGTTAACGAAGGGGGAAAAAAAAAAACCCAACCAAACAATAACAACAACAAACCAACAACCCACCTTCCCTCCTCCCCCTGCTTAGCAGTCTAGACAAAACCATTCTATTTTGACGGCGGACTGCGGGCTTCCCCTGCCCGCCTCCCATTCCTGATTGTTTGCATTCGCCCCCTGTAAAAGCCTGGGGAGAGGACTTCGGGTTTTTTTTTTTGTTTGTTTGTTTTACCCACCTTCGATTTCTGGTGCCTTTTTAGCATCTTTAGACCCTCGTCTAAAGACGGTATTTCGTGCCGCGAAAAAAAAAAAAAAAAAAAAAAAAGGCTTATATTTTTTTTTCTTTTTTTTTTTTTTTTTTTTTTTTTTTTTTAATTTCCCCTCGGTCCATAAGGAGCCTCCACAGCAGAACGGACACCTCAAAATCATCAATTGCGGTGGGTGCGAAGCTACATCATCCCGGAGCCGGCTGAGGACATTGGTGATGAAGCTGCGGGCCCGGAGGGGTGCGGGATCCCCAGTGCCGGTTGCTGCCGACCCTTTTGCATCCCGAAAAAGAGGTGCGAGGGGGGGGAAATATCCCCTCCCCCCCTTCCTTTAGCGCTGAGGAGCCGAGGGTGGGTGGCGGAGAGGGGAGAGCTGGGCGCTGCCGGGTGTCTGGTGGGCTCCGGCTTTGCGAAAACGGTATTTTGGGATAAGGTGGGGGGGGAGAGGGGGGCAAGTCTCTGCCGATTGACTTATCTGTTAGAAAATGCGTGTGCAGGCGGCTTCCGGCGGGGCTCACCAATCCGGGGCGGACGAAGCTGCTAAGACCATCCCCTGGTGTCAATTTTAATGGGAAACTTCATCGCTTTGCGGGGGGGGGGGGGAGAGGGGAGCCGCGTATTTTTTAATACGAAGACGCGAGGCTGCGGTTCACGCCGACTTTCCCGTCGTCCCTCCCCGCTCCGACGCGTTTACTCACACCGCTATTCCCAGCCTTCCCCATTTTTGGTATGGGGGCTATTTTGAGGAAACCCTTTCGGAGGTGAAACAAAACCCCGTGCTTATATCGAGGCACGAAAACCCATCCCCCCTCCAAAAAAAGAACAAACCCCAAAGCCGAGCCCAACTGCGTGCGTTCAACCCGAAGCTTTTGCCATAGAGAAGGGCGCAGCTCTTTCCCCGCAGCCCCATGGGACAAATCCTCAAGTCCCTGCAGTCCATTTGCCCTCGGGCTGTACAAATCTGCGTGCAAGGGAGGAAAACGTTGTATGTTCCATGCAATAAAGGTTGCGGTGCTTTTGGGAATGGAAAAACCACTTGTCGCGTCGGGACACACAAGAAGAAGCCGGGAGGTGACACGCAGGTCCCCATTGTGGGGTTTGCTCTGGGGTTTGCCCAGCTCAGGAAGCCGTACCCAGGCTGTTTCGAATAGGATTTATACAGTGGATTTGATGCCTGGCCTCGCACTGCAATTTAACAATCAGCGGGGATTCATTTTGTTTCTGTCTTTAAGGGGGGGGAAAAAAAGCTCTTTGTGGCTCTGCAGGGCTGCAATTGCCAAGGGAAAAACAAACAACGCAACAACGACGCAGCCAAACATAAAAACCCCAAATCACTACAGCAGCTCAGAAGTGGTTGGAGACACCGCTTCCAAAATGGCTCGAGCTGAGAGCGAGAAGAAAAAAGGCAAAATTGGTTCTTCGTTCGAACCTTTTGAATCCGACCTCTTCGTTTGTAACAGTTCTCCTTCTGGAATTAAGCCTTGAGGAAAGGAGTGATGGAAACCTGTTAAAGCTCAGGATGGTTTTCAGCCGCAGCTGGTTCTGTATTCGCGACGCAGAAAATAAAACGGAGCGGATTTTAGTAGCTACTAACGGGCAATTATTTCAGAATAGGTAATAGCAGGGATTTTAAAGATTTGGGAAATTAGAAGGATAAACCGAAAGTTCATACATATGGAGAGGAAGAGAGAGGAGACTTTTTTCGAAGCTCTCCGAGCCCCGAAGGGGTCTTTGCTCCCTTTTCTGCGCTCTCCTTCCCCGAGGTACCCAGGACTGAGAGCAGCACCAGGATTGCAGCAGCTGGGTGCTACAGAGTTGAGGGTTTTCCCCCCATTTCATCGCCTTTCTGCCTCTCTTCTCCCCTTCCAACCTCTTTCCCACTTGCTCTTTCAACAGCCTTTTGTACAGCAATGGGGATAGTTGCCAAAAATCCTCCACTAATAAAGAATATCAGTCCTCCTTCAGGGTCTGATCCTGCACTGTGGTCCCTAGGGGAGGCAGGGGGCTTTTCTGTGCACATTCGTCCCTGTCCTTTTCCCCATGGACCAAAGTCCAGCTTCGCTTTGCACACAGGCAGCCCGCAGTGCCTTCAACCCGCCCGGGGGCAAAGGCAGACAGCAGCCCCGGCCCCGCTCCTTGCACTTGTCCTCAGCCTTTCTCCAGAACCGAGAGCCGTCGGGAAACTGGGGAGGAGGAAAAGGAAGGAGAAATAGGCGTAGAACCTTCAAAAGGAAAGTCGAAGGTTGAGGCGCAGGATATCTCGGCTAAAAGGACTGAAGGTTTGCTCCGAAGGTGTTATTTCGTTGTTGTTGTTGTTTTTTTTTTTTTAACACAAAATCTGTGGTTGGTCGGATAAGAGTAACCAAAAAAGACCCCGACAAACAGCAGCCCTTTGCAGGAGGTGCAATAACACACAAAGCAGCCTCAAACCGCCGCCTCTCGAGGCTCAATGCCAGCACTCACAACCGAGCTCTGCCGTCGGGGCTCGCCGCTCCAGTCCGACCCTCTGCCGCGTCCCCCACGGCCTTCATGCCTTCAGACAGAACCTTTCCTTGTAAAAATCACTTTATAGCGCCCGAGCCTGAAAACTACCAGGTAACAGCTTTTTTACAACCCGACTCCCAGGACACGATTTCATTTCTTTCCTTAACCCTCTTTCCATCTCTCTCTGGGTTACATTTCCCAATGAGAAATCCCTTCGGAATATAGAGAGAATTAAAACATTCAAACCTTGCAATGGGAGCTGATTCACGACCTGCCCTTAAGCTGCAGGATTTTCAGCCTGATGTTGAATCCTGATTCCACCCAGAGGCATTTTTGGCTTCTGAAACATCCCTGGGACGTCCATGAAGGTGGGAAGAGCCCCTCAACCATCAGCAGAGAGCTGGAGAAACTCCATAGGTACATCAGTTTGCTGTTCTCTCTGCTTTTCCTTCTGATTAATCACAGGGGGTTTTTTTGGAGCTTGGTAGGGAAACGAGGTGAAATTAAATGGAAAGAATCATCAGAAATCCAGGCTGGGAAAAAGAACGAGAGCAAATTCTGCTTCACTTCCATTGGCTGTAAGCACTCCTCTCCCTCTGCCCCTGGCCCTTGTCCGGGGACCTTTGCCTTTGGTTTATGGCTCTCCTTTGAGCAGTGTCTGTGTCTCGCACCCTTGACAACAGTCTCCTCTCCTCCAGTCGTTCTGAAGGTTTGGATCTCAAATAGAGTTAAAAAAAAGAAAGAAAAGAAAAAAAAAAAAAAGGAAAAAAAAAAGCTTCTCCAGCTCTCTGATCATCCCTTGGTGCTTGGACATTGTCCTGCCCCTTCATCTGCCAGTTTTTCTTCAGAAGAAGTGTATTAAAAGGCCCCAAAATCATGAGGTAAGTCACAAGAGCAAAGTGAGACTTTGGGTCCCAGCAGCAGAGCTCAGTGTCTTTTCACTCCAACACAGCAAAGAAAAGTTGCAGCCCCATCCTGAAACTATTTAGCTCTCATCCATGGGAGATGGGGGCCTTTTAAGGTCTCTTCTCCCTTCTCCACCCCCAGAGCCACTACCCCTCATATATTATTTTTACCAATGTGATGGGATTTTTTTTTTTTGGAGGAGGAGGGATTTGTGCAGCCAGATTCTAGGAATTTGGAGGGGGGGAGGGGGAGAAAAGAGAGAGAGATCCCCCTGTAGACTAGAGAGATGTTGTTCTTGGGATTAGAGATGTCTGACCTTGAAGGTCACAGGTCACCATCCTTGAATAAGGAGCAGGAGCGCAAGGTTAGGATTGAAACTTGAGGTGTGTCTGCTGGAGATCACAGGGAAAAGCCTTCCAAACAAAGAGGAATGCCTCGGTCAGGGTGAGAAAGGACAAATTCCCCAAGAATTATGAGCTCCTTCCGGATGATCGCATACCTGCAGACCCCCCAAAGGATGCACTGTGGCTGAGAGAGGGGAGGAAGGAGGGGAAGAAAGGAGAGGGAGGATGGCTGGAGCCAGCAGACCATGTTATTTATCGTTATTTGCATTCTGGGCAGGCCCAGAGGCCCTGATGCTGGCAGTTTTATGGAGATAGCAACAGAAAGAACATCCCGTCATCACAGCAGCCTGGAGGTGGAGCACTGGAAAAAAGGAGGCTGCCCAGAAATATCTTTGCAGGAAGGGAAGAAAGGAAGAGATTCTCCCAAGGGTAAGGAAGTAACAGAGAGCCACAGGAGGAAACTGGATTCTAATCTGTGTCTAACACAACCATGACAGCTTCCCACTGTGAGATCCTGAAGGGCTCTGGGGAGTAGGTCCCAGCTGCGTGCCTCAGTTTCCCCACAGAAATAGCTATAAAAGAGGCAAAGAGCACCTCAAGCCTCATTTCAGGGTTTCAAGGACTGAAGTGAGTAAAGAAACCTCATTTCTCTAATGTGATTCCCATCCAAATGAAGAAAGAAACACGTTCACAAGCTCAGGGCCGCCTGGCTCATGCCCATGCACCCTGCTTACAGAAGTCTGTGCTTTCTGCCCCTGGTACATGAGGGAATAAGGTTGTATTGGTGATTTGAGCACGATCATGGCATGGCCCTGTGGCAGATCCTCTCATCTCTTACACTGAGAGTTCAAGCCTAGGCTCTAAGATATGCAGGTGAAATCCACTGGGGCTGTGAGGATTTAATGATGCAGGAAAGTGTTTGAGGATCTGAGAACTTCCACATAACCTCAGCCCACTGTGCTGAAGCCCCACAATTTAACCTGACTCCACTCCAGACCCTTCTCTGGTGTCAATGTGATCTAAAGGACCTCAAGGTCTGAACGACCTCACTGTATTTTGGCACATTTTGAAGATGGCAGCCGAGACCTCTTCGTGTCATTCATGTAAACAATGCACAGAGAGATGTGCAGGAAAAGTGCAGAGGTCAAGGCTGGCTGTGATGCTTAAACTCGAGGGCATTTTCCCTTTAGGGAAGGGAAGGATGGGGCCGGGAGCAGTCCCCCACCCATGGAACAGCCCCGAGCAACGCTAGAGGGAGCCCGGGGCTCAATTAATTAACTGGCTAAAATTAGCCGAGGTGGAGAAACATTGGAGCCTGGAGGGAAAGTGAGAATGGAGTTAGTTGTGTTTTCACGGGGTTTTCAAGCTGCATTTCTGTCAAGTTACACCAAAAAGTGACATGCATGGCAGCGCTAGTGCAAAATGCAGCATGGAGATGGCTCTGTGCTCTGAGTGCAGTGGGAGGAGGTCAGAACCATGAGACAAAGGGAGAGGGTCCCAGAGGCTGAGATCAGCTCTTGGATGCTGGCTGTATGGCTGCAGGGGGGTCCCCTATTTTAGGGATGCTTGCAGGGTGCTGCCTGCTTGCAGAAGGATCTGCAGATCCACCCAGGGATGTCACAGCCTTAGTTTCCCCTTCTGTGTCCTTTCCCACATGGTGCAGAGCTTTGCTGGACGTCCAAAGCCATCCTGAAGGCAATGGGGGGTTTTCCATTTGTTTCCTTTGGTGTAGACCTTATTAGAACTTCTGTGAGTGGGGGAAGGGGAAGGCAGGTCCCCAACAGGACCCCATGATGTGGTGGATTGGATGGAACTGTGTGGGTAATCAACCCACTTGAGTGTTAGCAAAACTGAACCAAAAAGGGAGCTCAGCAGAAGCCAGCCCATAAAAGCTGCCGTTGGACTCATTTATTATCATTTTAATCTTATTAACATCCCATCCGGTGGCTCTTTGGAGAATAAAACGTTGATATTATATATTTCTCTTGGCAGAAACCAACCAACCTTAGAAAAAATGAAGCCCTCAGTAAAGGAAAAAAGAAAAAGGGAATCAAGTTTTATATTGTCTTTTTAATTAACCCATCTAATATTGCCTGAGTATGCAGGAGCAGAGAAACGAGGAAGTAGCAGAGATTACGGTAAGGGTTTGCTGTATCCCATGTCCTAAGTGTAAATAATGTTCCTGTTAATTTAAAACCAAGGCTGACTGTCTTTACGACTTCATTGCACTCACATTAGCTCTACCTTTAGGCAGTGTCATGGGTGCAAATAGATTGGGTTGAGAACTTCCCTAGAGCCACTTTAAAGTGACATCTAATCTTTCCCTTTAGTGGTGTTAATTCAACTTCACAAGAGCGTTTGAAGCACCATTAGGCAGAGAAATGGACCTTCTCTCCTGCTGGTGCCCTTATCCAAATCACAACATTCCCCCCCCAAAATCTGTTTCATATCAGGCCAACTGTCTGTGGCTCCAGAGAGCAGCTGAAGGAGACGTGGGCTTCCTCTTTATGAGAGTTAAATACATAAAGGATTTGTGTTTCGTGTTTCTTGCTGCCTGCTGGAAGTCTCTAAGCGTCTTGGGACCCTCCTGGCTCACACAATGCAGTGGGAATGGGGACAGAGAAAGACTTGGGGATGCAACCATGGAGACAGAGGATTCCCCACAAACCAGAGTGCCTGCCAGGGTATGATGGCGTGCTGTTGGGATGGATTTTAACCAAGGAAAAGTGGAAAATGAAGTGCTGGGAAGGAAGCCCCATGAGCTTTGTGGTAGGCCACAGTCATGTCCTTACATCTGTCTGGCATTCCACAAATGGGCAGAGAGGTTGAGCAAAGGCCACAAGTGTTACTGCTCACCAGTGGGAAGGGTGTTGGCCATTAAATAGAAATGTGTTACAAAAGCTGTGCGGCCCAGAGGCACTGTGGTGCCATATTTCTCATCTGTGCTGGCTGAGGGCAGCACTCTGCCCCATCTCCTGCCTCCAGCACGGCTCACAGCAGAGAGATAGGGAAAAGACATGCATGCAGTGCTGGGGGTGATGGCTCAGCCCCTGATGGTGAGCAAGGTAAGAAACTTTCTGACCTGGTGGCTTTGTATGGATTGCTGTTGACGGTCAAAGGTGGATGTGCCCTTTAGTAACCTGTTGGATTCCCTTCAGCCTCCTGTTTACACCTTTGGCTTCTGCAGCCTATGATGGCAGCAAGTTCAAGGTCACATTCTATGAGAAGAACTCTGAAGCAGTGACTAAATATTCTCCTGAACCCTTCCCTTCTCCTTCCAGGATGAGGCAGACCTCTGTCACCTTCAGCCTTGGCCATCTCTTGGTTCTGGCCAGTTTAGTCCCCAGCACGTGGGATGGTCACACTCATTTTGGGTGGAGAAAGTATTATGTTACAGAACAGCCTGCTCAAGGAGAAGCAAAGCATCCCAAGGTCTGGCAGGTGCAGGAGTTGAGAGCATGGAGGGAAGGTCTGCAAGGCTGTGGGACGCGACTTTCTCCTCTCATCCAGGAGGGGGCAATCCGTGGCTGGAACTGAAGCGAAAGGAGCGCCAGATAAAGAGATTTTTCTTCTTTCACTGCTCCTTCCAAGGAAAAGCTCAAATTACTCTGATGCAGGAAGGCTTTAAAATGGAAACACAGATGGAGGAATTTAAAGGGACTTCAAGGGAGTTCGGGGTAGCCCGTTTTTTCCTGACACGGTGGCATTAATTCTTACAAACTATTTCTCCCAATTAAAAGGAAAAAAGAGAGTTAAACTGGATTTTCTTTTGAATCAGTTGGAACTTTGAGCTGGCTGAGACAATCATCAGCTTATCTCACCATTTATTTTCATTAAGCTTCTGTTTAACACATCTTCTTTGGCCTTCCTTCCTTCCAAAACCCCAGACAGAAGATGCAGCTGCATGTTGGGTACAACAAGCAGATCTATGCATACAGCCATTCTCTCAGCCTAACATGCCTTTGATTTTTGCCACACAGACTTTTATTTATACAATGAATTCTCATATAGCAAACACACTCTTGACTCCTCGACCTTTGGAGAAGGGCTGGTGAGCAACACATGGGCAAAGGTTTGTTCCAAGGTATATCCTATAACACTGGGTGAGATAGAATAGCTCAGCCTCCTCTCTGCCTTAGTTTCCCCATCTGAAAGTAAAAACAAGAAATAATGGAACTGCAACATATTGCAAAAATTGCATATTCACAAACCATGAATTGAAGAGATGGGGAGAGAGTCTCAAGATGCTTCTGAGTAAAAAATCATTCACTGGAGGAGAACTCTTGGACATTTCAGGGGCTTCCCAGCTGCATTCTGGGGGAAGGTTTGGAAAACCCAATGTATAGTGTTGGAACAGCAGGCATCCCATCGGGCCACTTTGTCCTGGTGAGGGCGTATGGCCAGGAAAGCAATGAGAGCTCAGAGAAAGAATATCTGGAAAGTAAATGAGCAAAACCTTGCTCTGTCTCTTGCTAACTGTTAACAATACAAAGAAAGAAGGAATGAGGGGGGAAAAGGAAAAAAAAAGCAACACTCAAGTCTGGGGGAAATGGAATGCGGAGCTTTTTTTGCACAAACCGGGCAGGAGAAGTTTCCAGAAGAAACAACATGAGTGAGAGGATTATTGCAAAAGGCCAGAGTGTCAAATCTGTGCTGGGAGTTAAAAGGAGCCCATAAAATCCACTCAGCAGAAATGGAGCCAGAGCAAGGTCTGGAGTTAACTCCTTAAAGTCTACAAAGCAGTGATAACCATCAGGAGTGACTTCCTTTCTATAAGGTGCAGAGTCTGGGCAAAGTCCCTTCTCAACCACCACTCAGAGAGCTATAAAGAGGGAAAAGGCAAATCAAGCAGGTTGAGGATTATTTTATGCAATGCAATAAATCCAATGTCCAGATCAGCTCTCTAATTGTAACTTCCTTTTTCAAAGCCACTTGTCATGATGCTTTCAAAATTAATCATAAAAGTAGAACAAAGTTGTAACAATATAATCCATACACATCTAGTTTTGCCATCAGTGTTACAAAAAAAAATATTGCACTGAATTATCCTTGTGAAGACCAACTCTGCCATGGACTTTCAAACAGAAAACAAGGAGGGCTAATAATCCAGTAGCTTCATAACTTTTCCCATTCAGACTCTTGACACATGCTGAGCAGTGAATCCCTGTGTTACACACCAGTTTCTCCTCTTCTGCACAAATGCAGTGAGTCCTTGCAATATTTGGATACCCATGAGTCTAATGAAGTAAAGTAGAAAGAGAAATGTCAGACTGCTGCCTAAATTAGTGTCTGTGAAGTTAAAGTGCACCGTGTTGTTCACTGTCATGGTGGGCAGAACCAGAAATAATAGTTCAGGTCACAGTGAAGAGGATTTTATATCATGCTTCCCCAGATTTTGTGTTTGCAAGGAACACAAAGCGTGGATCTGGAGTCCAAAGGTAATGGCATGTCTGACACTGAGTGGATCCACGTCATGATAATAACAAGGTAAAACTGTCTGAGACCACACAGTAAGCCGAGACTGGAAATTAGAACTTATGCAGAGGGTATGAAATTCATTCTTACATTTTTCACCTCCTGCTTTCCTTGCAAAGTGCCTCTCGTTGTGTAGACCTGGAGCAGACGATCCATAGGCTGCAGCTCAGCCTTGGCCTGCCCTCACTGCCCCTCCTGCTTCTGCTCTTGGGATCCCAATGCTGATCTCCAAATGTGCAAGATGTAAACTGTTCGAAGGGAATGGGAGGCAAGATCCCATTGCACAAGTCCTGCCCCCTGTGCAAAGCCTTTGCTCACTTGTACAGAGCATGGAAACTGACCTAGGACTTAATGAAATGTTGACGTGAGGCATACTGATAACAGAAACAATTCTGTTTGGATCACTGGTGCTTGTAGAATTTGGGGGGGCAAGAAGGAAGGATATGGCAAAAATCTGCAATGATTTTGGGTGCACCCCTCAAATGGCAGGTGCTCAGAAGATCCTGAAAAGCAATTTACTTAATGTCAACATCTAAACCAGAAAGTAAAGTTAAATGAAGCCAGCTAATACTACTTTCTGCTAGTAGTAACTGAAATGGCTGCTATTTAAGACACACCAAAGCAAATATCGTGTCATCATCTCAGGCGGGCAGAGCTTAAAGGGGCAATCAAACTGAGATGCACTGGAAAGGAAGAAAAAAGTGTAACACAGAAGTAAAAGCAAACTAATGAAAGTCAGAATGAATTTATGAGGCGCCTTAACGAAACACGTGGATGTGCTAAAGATGAATCCATGGCATTTACACTTTTAAGTCCGTGTTTAGTATGGAACTCATACAATTGGAAAGGTAATAAATTTCATGGCAAATGGACGCAATCGTGTTTGCACAGGGAAAGCCTTTGCCCAAGGAAAGCATGTGTGGTTTGTGATTCAATTAGGCTGCACAACAGTTACAGTTGCACAACTGCTTTGTTCAAAGGCTTGTACTATGTTCTGCCAAAGGTTGCACCCCTTAAATGGTAACATATCTGGATTCAAGTCGAACAGCTTTGCTCTGCCCAGCAGATGGGTCTTGTTCCTTTGATGAGGGAGATCACAGAGACAATTATGAGCAAATCATGTCCAATTCCATACGCACAGTGACAGAACATACTGAACAAATGTTACTTTTTACTTAATCACCCAGAAAATGCTCAGACAATACACAGCCTCAAAACACGACATGGAACCGCTGAGCAACGTTCAGAGGTTGTTAGCATTTATTAGCCGTCCTACAGGAACACCCGTGCCCAAATGCTGCTCAGAAACCACACCTCACTGTTAGGCAGACAAGAAACTCAACTCCACCCCGGTGTCAGCAGGAATTTACAACTCTGGCATCGCGGGGATCCTTCCAAAGGAGCAGCGTGGTTCAGTCAGAGCCCGGCGCAGCGCTTGAACCCGGGACTGCAGCACCGCGGAGAGCTCCGCACCCCTCCGGGGGCGGCCGGTCCCAAATCGCTGCTCCCAAGCGAGGAAGGAGGGGAACCCACAGAAGGTTTGACCCTCACTTTCCTTTGCAGGAGATGAACAGATAACAGCAGCAATAAAAAATCGTTCCCGTTCAACCTAAGGGTTATTTCGAGGTGCGGAATGTATGGCTTTTTTAATCCTTCCTCTACGAGATAAGGCGGTGAACGGCAGGTGAAGCAGTGCTGCTGGGTTTGTGCTCTCTAGAGCTGAGCTCTCTGATTTCTCACGCCTTGCATGCAGGGCTGCTCCCACAGGTGGTCAGACGTGGGAGCTGAGCTGCAGAAGCCCCCAGGAAGGTGACAGACCCATACCTGTCCCCATTGCATTGCTCAGCACCAACCGCTCAGGTTTGTGCTCTCTAGATGCTGACCACATTCATCCTCAAATAGGCAGAACGAGGGAGCTCTTGTCTTGGAGGACTATGCAGGAGGGCTGCAAGCAGCTCTGCTGCCCCACACTGTGTTTAAAGCAGTTTCTTGCAGCCAAGGACTGAATGATCGCAGTGTCTCAGTTTGCAAGCCAAACACATGCACGAGGGAAATTACAAAAGAAACTGTGGTTTTACATGGAAAAGAAATGATCTCATTTGCTTTATTTTGTTTTCCACAGCAATGTCTGTAACTTTCTGCAAAATGGCAATTGAGGATGTCATAACCACAGCGTAATTCCAGACCTGGTTCATATTTCGCTCTCCATTCTTGCTTTTCATTGCAAAAAGTGGGGCTGAAGGACCTCTATCTTTTTAATTGCATATAGCCCATTGGCTCTCTGCAGC